AGAGAGTGTAAAACATTTATCGATTCGACTATCGTACAAACGTTGACGAATTTTTAAAGTTAACTTGTTATCGAAAATTTCGAAATAGTAATAAAATAATTGATTTTTTTTAAGAAAAACGAATTATTCGTATTTTTTAACACATACGTTTAATATTCGTTTAACTACTTTTGATATCTATTTAAATCATTCGATGTCTCTACGATATAGTTCTCAAAATGAGTTTCGAGAAAATGTAAAATATTTATCGATTCGATTATCGCACAGTCGTCGATAAATTTTTAAAGTTAGCTTGTTATCGAAAATTTCGAAATATAGTTTGAACATACCTACTTTGACGTCCGATAACATTTGCTATGATTGACCATTTCACGCACCGTGAACGACGTGCAATACTATGTCACGAGTACTTCAAAACGATATTAACAATATAATATTTCGACTTCATTTGATATTCCGTAATGAGCCTGAAAATGAACACAAAACATAAGTAAAAAAAAAATTTTAAAATTTGAATTCAGGCACTCCGCACAGCGCGGAGTGCTCACTGGCAGGCACTCTGCGCAGCGCAGAGTGTCTAATTTTACTCTCTTTTTTTCTTTTTTTTTTCTTACGAACTTATTTTTTTTCTAAATTTATTATTATTATTATTTTAATTTGGCTATAAGTTTTGCTACAGTTATCGGAATTGAGCCCATGACCCGAATTCAGAAAGCTCTTTTCGACACGCACGTCATGGCCACCTAGCTTGCTTGGTGGACATCGTTTTCGAGGTCAAATTTCGCCGTTTTCCCTTCCAAATCCCCAATTATAGTTTGACGTCAAATTTAAAAAATACGTATAACTCGTCATTTTTTTGTAACACAATATCTATAAAAAATATATTGTCTATATTTTATCAAACTCGTTTCGAAAACTATATTATGGACTAATCGAATTGATCTAAATGAATATCGAAAATAATTAAAGTTACATCAAACGCGTTTGTTAAAAAGTTTACAAAAAATATATATTAATAGTACAATTAAAAAAATTAAATTTAAAATTAAAAAAAAAACTTGTCTGTGAAACGAATTATTCGTATTTTTTAACACATACGTTTAATATCCGTTTAACTACTTTTGATATCTATTTAAATCATTCGATATCTCTACGATATAGTTCTCAAAATGAGTTTCGAGAAAATGTACAATATTTATCGATTCGATTATCGCACAGTCGTCGATAAATTTTTAAAGTTAGCTTATTATCGAAAATTTCGAAATATAGTTTGAACATACCTACTTTGACGTCTGATAACATTTGCTATGATTGACCGTTTCACGCACCGTGAACGACGTGCAATACTATGTTGCGAATACTTCAAAACGATATTAAGAATATAATATTTCGACTTCATTTGATATTCCGTAATGAGCCTGAAAATGAACACAAAAACATAATTAAAAAAAATTAAAAATTTGAATTCGGGCACTCCGCACAGCGCGGAGTGCTTGAATTCAAGCACTCCCCGCTGCGCGGAGTGCTCACTGCAGGCACTCCGCGCAGCGCGGAGTGTCTAATTTTACTCTTTTTTTTCCTTACAGACTTATTTTTTTTCTAAATTTATTATTATTATTTTTTAATTTAGCTATAAGTTTTGCTACAGTTGTCGGAATTGAGCCCATGACCCCAATTCAGAAAGCTCTTTTCGACACGCACGTCATGGCCACCTAGCTTCGCTTGGTGGACATCGTTTTCGAGGTCAAATTTCGCCGTTTTCCCTTCCAAATCCCCAATTATAGTTTGACGTCAAATTTAAAAAATACGTATAACTCGTCATTTTTTTGTAACGCAACATCTATAAAAAAAATATATTGTCTATATTTTATCGAACTCGTTTCGAGAACCATATTATGGACTTATCGAATTGATCTAAATGAATATCGAAAATAGTTAAAGTTACATCAAACGCGTTTCTTAAAAAGTTTACAAAAAAAATATATTAATAGTATAATTAAAAAATTAAAATTAAAATTAAAAAAATAATTTGTCTGTACAAAGTCAACAACTGTGGGCGCAAGTGACCATTAAGCCCTCAATGTGTTAATTAGTGTAAGGTGAGATTTTCAAGGGTAAAGTGGGAAAATAATGTAAAGGAGGAAAAAAAAAGGACAAACTACTGTAGCAAAATCAGATAAATTGGATTCAAGTGTGAAAACGGTTGTGACATAAATGAATAGTAACAAAAGCCTCTCTTTTAAGAGAGTAAAGATTTAAAAGTCTTGATCTCATATCTTGAAATTTTTAAAAAGTCTACAAAATTCTATATTGAATAATCTAATTAAACTTTGGGTAAAATTCACAATTAAGGTATTAAGTATGGACAATGTAATTTTCATGTCTAAAGTTTTGAAAATGCAAAAATCATGTTTTCATTTATTAAATAAATAGATTTTATTAATTGAAAATAATAAGGTCACATATAGACCATTAATGGTCACATGTTTATAATTATAGGTCACAAACTTGTTTATTGGTCACGTATTATCAAATTAACTAGTCACAGATTATTTCGAGGTTACGAATGAAAATTTTTATAGGTCACGATTTATTTAATTGATCATAGATGAAAAAATTATAGGTCACCGTTTATTAATCAATCACATATTTTTGAATTTATTGGTCACAATTATCCAATTTTAAGATCACAATTAAATAGTTGGTCACAAGTAATCAAACAATCAGTCACAGGTCAAATAATTGGTCACATTACATACCACCACCACCCTCACCTCGTCGCTACCGACACTACCACCACTGCCAGTTCCACTAACAACAATAACCACTCAATTTCCCCGACACAACCAAAACACCACCACCACCACTCCTTCAACCAAAAAAATACCACCATTCCTACTTGCACCATCACCAGCATGTCCACTACCCTAACACCGCACAACGACCACTCCATTACCACCACCACGATAGCATCAACACTGCCAGAAGTACCACACACATTACCACCAACACCACCACACATACAACCACAGGCAAATCACATAGACTCGCTACTAAATCCATGGTATCCACCACACCACCATCAACATTGTCCACCACCACCAACACCATCAACACCTCACCTGCGACTATT